GACGCCAGGCGCACCGAGCCCCGGATGTCGCGGTGCTCGGGCTGCTCTATGGTGCCAGCACCGGTAGGTTCCACAACATGCAGCTCAGCCATGTTTCCTCTCCGTCTGAAGAACCAGTCGCACAGCCGCACGGTGAGCTAACGACACACTGCGGGGAAACAGCCTCCCTGAACCGCCTGGTAAACACACCGAGGATATTTTTCTCCTTCTGACGGGCTGCCTGCTCTCATCGGGGCGTTGCTGCTCGTAGTCGACCGCCTCCACCTCCTGGCCAAGAGATTAGGACACAAAAACGACTATGAGAGGCTGCACAACAGGAGCAGCATCGCGTTTAACCGTTTCTCCAAAAGCTAAATTGGTCATTCTCATCTATTCAAATGTTAACCAGAGAAAAGGCATTTCTTCCGGGTTGTAACGTGATTACTGTTTACTTCCGCCGTGTCACGGCTTTTCAAAATAAAAGCGAATTCAGCATGCAGAATTATTTATTATTATAGAATTATTAGGCAAATTATTTATTTTCCTTGAACGGGCATAAACAACAGAATATCTCTTTAAATTCTGTTATGTAAAGGAAGGAGACCTTAGCCGTAATTATATACAAACCAATCATACTTATGTGCAAGAATGGGGCTTTTATGAACATTTTTTGCTGCTTTAAAAAGGAGCAATATGAAATACGAAATCTAAGGTTAAACTCGGAAAATATATTTAAATAGTTATGAAACAATCACAAAGTACAAATGAAAGCCCTAAAGAGTTACATTTTTAACTTGAACCTCTCATTTACTCTCTTAATTGCTATGGAAGCACTAAAGGTGTACTTAGTAAGGTGGAAATAATTAGGGTGGGGTGGACAAAAACAATGTGGGAAACTGGAAACAAATACAAATCTTAACATGACATGACTATATACACTTACGTGTTATATGTACTATTTTCATTTTATGAACGTTTTTTCTGTAATGATAAGTGGAGTATTTCTGATTCATAGAAGACCAAGGTTTCTTTGTGTAAACACGATGTCAAATTAAACTTGGAGCGCAACTAGAGTCCAAGTCTGTCAAACAAATGAGAGAAAAGGAACTGAAATGGAAAAACCACATGAACCACACAGGATTTGTAATGACCTTTAAGCAACCATTCAGGACTTTTTTTTTCTTTCTTTTTTTTTTTACACTAAAACAAAGACATGGCTTGTTTTTTTTCTGCTGGGAGTGCTTTTACTGCTCACTCAGCAAACTAGCTTTCATGGGAAAAAAAGGAATTGAGATTATGAGATATGGATGAAGTCCATGGGAGTGAGGGAGAAAGAGGTTCTCATAGTGTTGATGATGGTATTAACTTCGGCTAATCTTGAATGGTATGGGACAAGGGGTGAAATGACTCCTCAACACACTGTTACTACCAGCAAGGCACATATCACAAAAACTCCTTTCACATGTAGCTAAAGGCATTTCCTGAAGGTCAAGGAGTGATGCGTCCTCGTCGGGGATTCGAACCCCGATGTCCCGCGTGACAAACGGGGAGAGTCATCACTATACATTTATATAACAGCGCCACAAGACCATAGTGGACAAAAATATATTGCATCCGTAGTGGTTTAGGACTCCCATAGAGAATGAATATGAAACAGTTGAGGGCCGTTTAGTAAATCTAGTGTTAAGTAAACAATTCAAGCGAATATGTCTTAAAGTGTACGTGATGCAGTAAGAAAAAGGACAGCGTCACGTCCATTAGTAGCAGTCCTCGTTAGTATAGTGGTGAGTATCCCCGCCTGTCACGCGGGAGACCGGGGTTCGATTCCCCGACGGGGAGGCATTTCCTTTTCGTTCTTGGA